GAAGTGTGAGATGAAGACAAGGACTGTTTCTTTCTGGGCCCTGCTTCTTGGCCTGCAGTGCACGGCTCGCTGCACACTGGCATGCCCTCCTTTTGTGCATGTGGAGAGAGTGTGAGCTGCCCAGTGGCTCCTGTCACAGGGCACTGTCCCTCAGGGCCTCACGTAGCCTTAATAACTTCCGTAGAGGCCTAATTCTCCAAAACAGCCCTTCTGGGGGTTAGGCCTTCAACATTTGAATTTGAGGAGAGTACAAACATTCTGTCTATAAGCAGATGGATCGTTGTTTTTAGGTGGAATATTAAATATACTTATCACAGTCTGTGGTGGTTTAATCAGTGCTAGTGTTTCAGGCATTGCGCTGAGCGCTTCCTCTGTTCTTTCATGATATTAGAATTGTGCTCTGTTGTTTAGACCTGTGGGGGACTTGCATTGCACTGGAGTTTTGCCATTTCATTGGATTATTTTTACTTTGCTGTGGCTTTGTTTTTTATTTTACTGTAGTCTTTTTTTGTTGTATGTGATGTTCTATGCATTTTACTTTTACGTTATAAAGTGTGTGTTTTCATGACGTGTTTGCTCGGGGGCCACCTGTGAGAGGCACTGGACTGCTTTTTGGACCACGGTGATCCTGAAGAATGTATGTAGCCCGGTGTGTGGCGGGACAGCACTCCAGGACAGGCGCTGTGGAGCAGAGCTGGGAAAGTGACTCGTGCAGTAGGGAAGGCTTGTTCTGTTGTCGCCTGTCACCGCTTACAGACACCGCGGAATGGTTTTCAGCTTAAAGATGCCTGCCAGCCTCCAAGTGTCGGTTAGGAAGCTTTGCCCAGGAGGTCTTTTCCTTAGGTTAAGGAACTGAAGGCGCTGAAATAGACTGGCAACACTGCCCTGGGATGTGGCCCATTTGAAGGCTCCCGGCTCTCACCACAGTTAACTTCCCAAGCATTCCTTGCTGGCAGATCTGTGGCTGAACTCATTTCAGAGCTCTGATGAGGGTGAGAGAGGCCCACCTCTTGTGGAGCTGTGGGCTGTAGGTTTGCAGAGAGGAGGGGATGGAGGCAAGGGGAAGCGGGGAGAGAGGCACAGCACCTCCCCAGCCGGTCCAACCCCAGGACCTTCCCTGGCTGACAGCTGGAGTACTCATTAACTGACATGACAGGAGCGTTGGTGCAGAGGCACCCACTAGGTCTGAAATCAGAGAGCTAAACAGAGCGAAGGTCACGGGCATTGGAGTCAAGATCCGAGCCTGAATCCTGGTTCTGCTGCTTTATGTGACCACAGCAAGTTGCTGAGCCGCAGTTTTCCTGTCTGAGAAATGGGAATTAACCAGCGTGCATCCTGAGGCTGTTGAGAGCCCTTAGGGAGCGCCTGAAGTCCCCTGGCTGATGCCAGAATCACTTTTTAGTCCTGCAGATGCAGCCACATGGCCCAGGGAGGCCTGCTGTTCTACGAAATTAAGCAGAGTAAATTGGTAACTGTGGGTTTACTTAGCCAGTGATTAAATAACCGTTTAGTTAATAGGCAATTAATGGTCCCCCAGGTGTTGGTAATTTTGAATATTTGCTTTTGAAAGTAGTTGTATAATTTCTTCTGGTATTTTTTTTTTTAACAGAAAATATTGCAGGGAAGCAAATGGTACTCTCAGGGGCTTCCTTTGGGAGGATTAAATGATGTAGTGCATATTAAGCATGTGGCATAGTGTCTAACTCACAATAAGGGCTCCATAAAAGTTATTTGCTGTTTCATTATTGCTATTACTACTTTGAGCTTCAACTGGCCTGTTTTAGCGCAGGTTCCTTGGTGGAATTCAGGCTCCCCGCCAAGTCCACCACCATCTGGTGGCCACTAGAGGCACTACACATGTTGTGAAGGAGATTTACTAAATAGTTAGGAATTAATAACACGAAGTTTTGACCCCACCTGAGCACACAGGGACTTTGTTCTTTACAGAACATCTTATTTGCCTGAGCACTGGAATTCATGTATCATTAGACAAGGAGGTGACTTCTTGTTGTTTCAACCTCCATAACTGACATAGAATAAAAAAATGTCTTTAGCAGCAAGAGTAAAGCAGGGTGAGGAACGGACATGCTCGGGTGCTGTTGTAGAAATGTAAATGTGACACTTTTTTATACCAGGGGGATTGGTGATATAACCTAAGTCTTAAGTGTTTGTGACAACTATTCTGCTTCTAGGGATTTCTCTTAAATAATCAGGAAGGGAAATATTTAGAATGAAATTAGGTATAATATATAAATCTATAACATACAGTTATAAAGTAGCATTGCATATAAATGAATAAATAGGACATAATTAGTTTTTTTTAAAGATTTATTTTTATTATTTTTTATTGGAAAGGCAGATATACAGAGAGGAGAGACAGAGAGGAAGATCTTCCGTCCGATGATTCACTCCCCAAGTGAGCGCAACGGGCCAATACTATGCCGATCCGAAGCCAGGAGCCTCTTCTGGGTCTCCCACGCGGGTGCAGGTTCCCAAAGCTTTGGGCCGTCCTCGACTGCTTTCCTGGGCCACAGGCAGGGAGCTGGAAGGGAAGCGGGGCTGCCGGGATTAGAACCGGCGCCCATATGGGATCCCGGGCGTGCAAGGCGAGGACCTTAACCACTTGCGCCACTGCGCCGGGCCCAGTTTTTGATCTTTGAATCAAAATTCTGATTCCTTATAGCAATGGTTCCAGACAAGAATCGGGGCACAGAGAAAATGTGTGCATTGTCGTCTCGTGGGGCGGTGGTGTTGGGCTGGACCAGTTTGAGCATCATCTAGTTTGGGAGTTGTGCAGTTTCAGGAGATTCAGTGCACCTATTGTTTTCTTAATACAAACTCCAGAAATGAAGTTGGACATAGATACCTGGGCGAAGATAACGTAGAAGTAATTAGAATGTGCCATGTTTGTGTATGTGTGTGCATGAATTTCAATTTGGGGAACCCTAACTTCAGGGACAGAGGTCTTGATGACAGTGAGTATTTCTGGAGTGAGTATGATTGCTGGTCTTTTATCCCAAGCAGATCAAAGCACAGGCCTGGGAGTATAGGCATGCAGGGATATAACTCCAAAGGTAAATATCTGTTCATTTAGCTTGGCTGAGGGTCTGCTGGCTGAATCATTTTGACAAAATGTCAAACTTGATGTGCTGTATGAATGTGAAGAGGGATAGCTGGTCTGTGGAGACGGTGCTCACACGAGGACTTCTATCTAACTATAACTTTCAGGATGAGGCAGTGCATAGTGGAAGACTAAATGCCCTCCTGGAAAGCCGGTGCTCTGCGACTTCAGTTTCTAGGCCCTTGGGTCTGTCTAGGTTCCCTCAGCCCTGGTAGGTGTATTTCAGCCATTATGTATAACAGAAACCCACCACTTCCCCCTCACGCCTTCCCCAGGCATAGGATCTGAATAGCTGACTCGTAATGGTGTGCTTTTTAAATAAATGTACCATACATTTCAAAGTCACAGCCTCTTTTCTCCCGAACTTGTAATGATGAACATTTTCAAGTGTACACAAAAATTATGAAAGTAATCTGCTGAAATGTTACATACCCATCCCACTTGATATTTGGCTACTTAAACCCTTCTCGAGTTGGTTCCTGATTCTTTTGTCAAGTGGACTTCTTTGGCATCATCATTATCTGGATGCCTGCCTGTTGCTTTGGTGACTCTGAGAGACTATTTCCGATAAGGGGAAGGTGGAATGCTCACTTCATTGCTATGTCAGTATTAGCCACGTGTCTGAGAGATGCCTTTTACAGGAAGCCTCCTGTGATTGGATGGTGTTGAGTTCTAAATGCAAGTGGATTTCAGACGCTTCTATGGAGTAAGACTTTTATTATGCCCCTGATGTGGACTGGGAACAGAGGGGCATGATCCCAGTGACTTAGGGGAATCATAGTTGAGGAGTGCAGAGCCACCCCAGGGGAGAGCCCAAGAGATAGTTGTGGAATGGTGTTAACCCCAGACACCGCTAGAGCACTCCAGGTTGTGGATTTCTAAGTTGCCGCCTGGGAGATCTTGAGCAGTCAACTCTATTTGTCCTTCTGGCCTTTGGATCTCTCAAGAGTAAAGAGGAGTGTAGGACTGGATTTCTGAGTGCCCAAGACCCTTTACTTGTGAAATTACGTAGTTTGTATGCTTTTAAAAGTGCCCGTGGGACAGATGTCATGGTGCAGTGAGTTGAACCACTGTCCACAGTGTTTGCATCCTACGTGGGTGCCTGCTCAAGTGCCAACTGCTCCGTGTCGGATCCAGCTCCCTCCTGATGCATCTAGGAAAGCAGCAGCAGATGGCCCAAGTACTTGTACTGCTACACCCCTGTGGGACACCTGGATTGAGCTCCTGGCTCCTGGTTTCAGCCTGACCCAGGACTGGCTGTTAACTATTGGGAGAGTAAACTAGTGGATGGAGAGCGTCCTCTGACTCTCTCTAACTTTTGTGGGGAAAAATATGTGATCCCTAATGCCCCTCACTTTATAAAGCAGCTGTGGTTGTTACAGGAGCCTGACCTCTTCAAGGTCATAGGCATTGTGATGGAAATGTTGGTGGTGTTTGCATCATCTTTTCTATTTGACGCCAAGAGTGCTTCTCTTGTCTTCAGCTGTGACAAAAATGTGAGGAGGCTATTTGGCTTCAAAGCTGTGTATAACATTATGCTTATGGGAATAACTAATTCCCCAACATTAATTGGAAAGAAAGTGAAAAATGAGAGTTTCACATTACATATTCAACTTTTTTTCCTGTTACATGCTAGGTAGTCACAATATGGCTGAGACAAAGGATGTAGTGAGAGTCTACTTTGGAGTAAAACCTCATTCCTAGCAGAGTTCAAGATATTTTCCTGAGACTATTCTAACTCAACATGAATGAAAGAGCAAGTACCATACCAGAGGAGAGACTTAAGAATTCAGGAATCAGACCTCTGGGACTCACCCACCTTTTTTTTTTTTTTTTTGGCTAGGGCTTGGTAATGATTATTTCAAACTTCTTTTTACAGGATAGCAAAGGGCCAGGAGAAATCTAGTGGAAAATGCAAAACAACGAAATCATAAAACCTGCCAAATACTTCTCCGAATTGGAAAAGAGCATCTTGTTGGCTTTGGTAGAAAAGTACAAATATGTGCTGGAGTGTAAGAAGAGCGACGCACGCACTATCGCCCTCAAGCAGCGCACCTGGCAGGCGCTGGCCCATGAGTACAACTCCCAGCCCAGCGTGTCGCTGCGGGATTTCAAACAGCTGAAGAAGTGCTGGGAGAACATCAAGGCTCGGACCAAAAAAATCATGGCCCACGAAAGGAGGGAGAAGGTGAAACGGAGTGTGAGCCCGCTGTTAGGCGCCCACGTCCTGGGGAAGGAGAAGATGGCTAGCATGTTGCCGGAGCAGCTCTACTTCCTGCAGAGTCCTCCCGAGGAGGAGCCGGAGTACCGTGCAGATGCTGCAGCTCCAGGTACAGGGACCCCAGGTCCTATGCATGTGCCCCTTGGGGCCTCCTTCATAGGCCCCTGGGCCCTGGGAATGCACCCCTCAGGCACCTCCTTCACATGTGCCCCTCAGGGACCTCCTTTCCCATTCCATTGTTTAGATCCCTCATTTAGAGGAGTTTCCCAGAAGAGAAGCTTTCATATCAGATTTGGTTTTCCTATTTCAAAATCTCAGGATTATCCAGGACATTCAAAGCCGAATAGCACATAAAAACAGAAGTGCTGGTTTAATTCTTCATGACATCTTGAAGATATAGGTTATCATCGAAACAGAAAATATGGAGTTATGTTAGTGGAGTAGTTACTAAGGAGATACTGCTTATCTTGGCCTGGCTCAAATACAGGAAAGAGTTTGGTGAGGATTTATGTTCATTCAGTCTTTTCCCAAAAACTGCGTTTGGAGGGGGCCTTGTTATTGTCAAGCCACTTAGAAAACTTTATTAAATGAGTGAAGTTGTTCATACTTAAAAACAAGCATAGAGACTAGTATAGCAAATACCTGAACAATACTTACCCAGATTAAAAAGCAGTATTTTTATTCATTACAAACATTGGGATGTACAGTTCTGGCTTGTAGTGTCTCAAGGATCTTGGAAGAACTAACTTGAATGTACTTCTGTTGAAGAGAAGGAAAGATGCCATATGTAATGTTCAGGGAAGGAACAGACTCAGTTAGGCATGGATGCAGTGATAGTGTGTCCCAGATGTAAACTGAAGGGCTGTTGGAGTGTCTGAACAAAGGGCAGATGGAGATACACACCAAGAAAGCTGTGATCATCTCTGCCTCTTGAAATAGGAGGTGGCCAGTTCATGTAAAGGGTCAGTGCAGGTTGCACAGGGCCCCACTGCTTTGGAGAGGTCTGTCATCACCCAATTCCTCTCCATCTTTGTTAGCCCTGGAGCCATTGGGTTACTGTATGGCAGTGTAGGGAGGAAGTGGTGGGTTGTGGGGTTAGTGGGGCTGTTTTTACCTTGCCCTCTGTTCCTGGGAGATGTTACTGAGGATTATGCTCATGTCTGCTGCTTTTAGCTCATTGTGCTCATCCAGAATCTGGATTGTTCCATATGGATCTCATTAAGTCTTAGAGGACAGATTTTAATTTCCCCATTTTCAAATGTTAAGATAGGGTCTAGAAAGTTCATTCCACAGGTTTTTTTTAAGTGATTTCTTTTTGGAAGAAATTATAGCACTTATTTTTCTCTTATAGCCTACAGATTTCTAGCAAGTAGGGAATCAATTTGGATTCTTGAAGTCCTTCTTGTAGTGACATTAGCTAGCAACTCACTTGTGAGAGGATCTCTTTTCAACAGGGTGTTTCTGTCTGACACAGCAGAGTTCCCTGTCCACAGGTGATCATTAAAGCAAGCCCAGTGTTGCCTGCTGTCACTTTCAGCTCCAATCTGGAGAGCAGGAGAGAACTTCAGTGCTGTGTTGGTCAGAAAATGTGACCATGGTAATGGGTTAACCCCAGAAGGTAAAGTGTTGGAACTGCTTCCAACAGATCAGAATAACTCCGAGGCTGTCTTGTCTCACTCGTCCTCAATTTCAGCTTTCTTTCAAGAAAACAAAACAAAACAAAACAAAACAAAACTGGAATTGTTAATCATTCCCCTGGGATTTGATATTTGATGGGGAAATGATTGCAAATCTGCTGTAGGTGAAGGCCCTCACTACATTTACTGTACTTAATGTCTGGACTGTTTGTGTACTTTCATATTTCTAGCAGCATGCTGTCCAATACAGGAGCCACAGGCCACCTAAAGTTAATAAACACTCAAAGGCATGTAGGTAGACCAGACAGAGGTGTGCTGTTGTACACACCACATTTTGAAGAAAAAAAAGCTGTTAAATATCTCATTAGCTATTTTATATTGTGTATATGTTTAAATTATAATATTTTGGATATGTTAGATTAAAATTAATTTAACCTGTTCCTTTCATTTTTTGATATGGCTATGAGAGCATTTTTTTTTTTAATTTAAGATTCATTTTATTTGAAAGGCCAAGTGACAGAGAGGAAGGGAGAGACAAAGATTGTCCATCTGCTTATTCCCAATGGCTGCAATAGCTAGGGTTCAGGCTGGGCCAGGCTGAAGCCAGGAGTCTGAAATTTGGCTGGTTCTGCCACATGATTGGCAGGGAGTCAAGTATCTTCCACTGACTTCCCAGGCACATTGGCAGGAAGCTAGATTGGAAGCAGAGCAGCAAGGGTTCAAACCAAGGTACTTCTATGAGATCCTGGTATCACAAACAGAGGCTTAACTCATTGCACCACAATGCTGGTCTCTTCAAGAACATTTTAAATGACTATATGACTTTTATTATATTTATTTATTAGATTGAAATTTTATTTTATTTGAAGGACACAGAGAGACAAGTAAGAGAGTTCTTACATCTGTTGACTTATTCCTATGACAGCTAGGATGACGCCATATCAGGCCAATATAAGGTTGAAGCTGGAAACCTGGCATCCAATCCAGGTTTTCCAGTTGGTAGCAGGGACTCAACCACTTGAGCCATCACCAGTGCCTCCCAGGGTGTGCCATAGCAGGAAGCTGAAGTCAGGAGTGGAGGGGGTTTCAAACTCAGGCATCCCAAAATGTAGGTATACCAAGTAGTATCTTAACTGCGAGGTCAGATACTCAGCCCACGATTTTCTGTTAGGCAGTGGTATTGTTCTAGCAGTCAGAGATATGATTGGGAAATGTTACACAGGGTGGAGTCTGTTTGGTATTCCACTGGTTTCTGGGATGAACTGGTCTCCACTGGGTCATCTTCATCACCATCCCCTGTGGGTTTCTTATCTTTGTCACTGACATTCTCAAAACGTGCATCTGCATTCCAGCACAGAAGTATGGAAGTTTAACACTTAGGAATGTATTAACGAACACTCAGTGTTTCCCCTATAAATACACTAAGACAGATCACACCTGGCAGATTTTATGATCTGTTATCATTTGGCTTTGACTCATGTGTTTCATTATCTTTAAGGAATAGGTATGCAGAGTATACAAGGGAAACCATCACGATTTGCCAAGGGGACAGGAAGGTCAAATGCATTTAAGGAAATAACGCTTTCACATATCACTGAGAACTTACATTTCATTTTGTATTCTGTTATTTCTATACTATAAACCCATAATTGGATAATGTGAACATGTTCTACTAAATTCCATTATTATTGCTGTTTAATTTGGTTCCACTCTTTGGGTTGGTGACTTAAATACCAAAGGATGGGTTGTATTTCCAGTTGACTTTCCCGGGCTCTGAACACCGCCTCATTTGTGCTAGCTATATTATGTGTCCCTGTTTATTCCCATCCTCTATGTTTCATTCACTTCTCCTATTCCTAAATTATTCCAGCATGCTTGTGTGTTCTCTCATGTTTTCTATGCACATATTTTTAAGTTACACAGATTAAAATTATGCTATAGATAACCTTTTAAAAAGATTTATTTATGTGAAAGGTAGAATGAGAGAGAGAGAGATATCTTCTATCTACTGATTTTTACTCCCAAAATGTCTGCACCAGCTAGAGCTGCACCACACTGCAGCCAGGAGCCCCATCAGAGGTTTCCACATGGGTAGCAGGAGCCCAAATATTTGGACTATAATCTGCTGTCTCCCAGGCACATTCCCAGGAAACTGGGTCAAAAGTGGAGTTGAGGGCCCTGCGTGGTACCCTAGTGGCTGAAGTCTTTGGCTTGCACGTGCCGGGATCCATATAGACTCCTCTTCGTATCTCGGCTGCTCCACTCCACATTAGTTCCCTGCTTGCAGCCTGGGAAAGCAAACAAGGATGGACCAAAGCCTTGGGACCCTACACCTGCATGGGAGACCTGGAAGAGGCTCCTGGCTCCTGACTTTAGATTGACTTAGCTCTGGTCATTGTGGCCACTTAGGGAGTGAGTCAATGGACAGAAGATCTTTGTCTCTCCTCTCTGTATATCTTTTTTTCCAATAAAAATAAATAAGTCTTTTAAAAAAATCTTAAAAAAAAAAACAAAAATGGAGTTAAAGGCCTGGTGCGGTAGCCTAGTGGCTAAAGTCCTCACCTTGCATACACCAGGATCCCATTTGGCTGCTGGTTCTAATCCTGGCAGCTCTGCCTCCCATCTAGTTCCCTGCTTGTAGCCTAGGAAAGCAGTCAAGGACGGCCCAAAACCTTGAAACCCTGCACCCTTGTGCAGGTGAGACCTGGAGGAAGCTCCTCGCTCTTGACTTCAACTCAATTCTGGCCGCTTCAACTCAATTCTGGCCGCTTTGGCCACTTGGGGAGTGAGCCAGCAGATGGTAGATCTTTCTATCTGTCTCTCCTCTCTCTGTAAATCTGACTTTCCAATAAACGTAAATAAGTCTTTAAAAAAAAAAAAAACAAAGAAGTGAGTTGAGACTCCATTATAGGCATTCCGGTATGGGATGTCGGCATCTTAGACGCAGGATCAGCCTACTGCACAATGACACCTGTCCCTAAATATTTTTTAGGGAAACAACAGAAAGATTTCCCATTTGTGCGTTCACTGGCCAAATGGCTGCTTCGGCTGGAGCTGAGCTAAACCTAAACCAGGAGCCAGGAACTTCTTCTTGGTTTCCCATGTAGGTTCATGGACCCAAGGGTTTGGACCATCCTCTACTGCTTTACTGCATCGTAAGCATGGAGGTGGATTAGAAGTGGAGCGTCTGGGACACAAAGCAGTGCCCATATGGGATGCTGGCATTTAAAAGTAGAGGATTTGCCTGTTGAACCACAGCACTGGCTCCCTTAGAAATAATTTTTAGATCAGTTCTCTCTGTAGTGTATAAATCTAATCTGCTTCCTTTATTGCATAATCTTCTGTAGTGTGCATCTACCACATCGTGTTCATTTCCTCACAGTCCTATTTCATTTATTCTACCGAGAAGAGCTGGGGTTTGACCTTTATTTAGTTCACATTCTATTTCTTTCCATGGTTTAGCAGGCTTGCTGTGCCACTACTGAGCTTACTCAAATTGCACAAGTGAAGTAATGCCACCTTAACTGGGTTCTCAGTCCCAGGAAAGCCATGAGGCCTTCCTACTGTTTTGTATAAAATTGAATTGTTTCTATTTTGAGTGGCTCTGATTGTATGGTTTGTGTATGTATGCAGGAGGCTGCTATTCCCAGCTGTTCTTTTTCAATTAAGAAAAAGTTCTTTTATCTGAACCCTGGCCTCTTTTCCTTGGAGATAATGTTTGTGTGAAATGTAATTATTAAATCAAGCTTCTCTGGTTTTAAGCCCAAACTTCTGCCAGTCTTCATAAGAGGCATGGTTCTTTTTCTTTTAAAATATTTATACTGATAGGCCCAGTGCAGTAGCCTAGTGGCTAAAGTCCTCAGCTTACATGTACTGGGTTCCCATATAGGCACTGGTTTGTGTCCTGCCAGCCCCACTTCCCACCCAGCTCCCTGCTTATGGCCTGGGAAAGCAGTTGAGGACGGCCCAAAGCCTTGGGATCCTGCATCCACTTGGGAGAACCAGAGGAATCTCCTGGCTCCTGGCTTCAGATTTGCTCAGCTCTGACTGTTGTGGCCACTTAGGGAGTGAATCAATGCACAGAAGATCTTCTCTCTGTTTTTCTTCCTCTCTGCAAATCTGACTTTCCAGTAAAAATCTTTAAAAAAAAAAAATTGGAGTATACATCCATTCTTTAAAAAAAAAAAAACTTTTTTTTTAATGTGTGAGTAAGATAGAGTTCCCATATGCTGGTTTTACTCCCCAGTGCCTGTTACAGAGCTGGCAACTCAGTGCAGGTCCCCCACGTTGGCAGGGACCAGCTGCCTGAGCTATCACTTGCTGCCTCCCAGGTGACACATTATTAGGACACTGGAATCAAGAATGGAGCTAGAACTGAAACCCATGCCCTCCTATAGGGAATGTGGCATCTTAACCTTTGTACCAAATGCCCACTTCAGAATATACAGCCATATTCTTAATATTTGTGTGGTGGAGTTAGCTTAAAGGTTGCATTTTAAGGTGTGTAAGTGATTAGCTAAACAAGTGGAATCATGAGAGGTGAGACTAGCCCTTCCCTGAGCCACTGTTGTGCACCTGGGTTCCACATTCAAAACTGTGCTTTCTCCAAGGTTGGGCTGTGTTGGGAGGGATGTAACCCACTGCAGCCATTGCACTCCCAGTATGTTTTTTACATGCCAAGAGCTCTGTTGGCCTCAGTGCTGGGTTCAGCAGCAGGCTGCCTCTGTCTATAGGGGACTCAGACACTTGAGCAAGAGGCAGCTTAACTGGCAGATTTTGTTTTTGTTTTTAAAAATTTACTTATTTTTATTGAAAAGTCAGATATACAGAGAGGCGAAGAGACAGAGAGGAAGATCTTCCATCTGCTGATTCACTCCCCAAGCGGCCGCATTGGCTGGAGCTGTGCTGATCCAAAGCCAGGAGCCAGGAGCTCTTCCAGGTCTCCCTCATGGGTGCAGGATCCCAAGGCTTTGGGCCATCCTTGACTGCTTTCCCAGTCCACAAGCAGGGAGCTGGATGGGAAGCAGAGATTAGAACCTGCACCTGTATGAGATCCTGGCGCATGCAAGGCGATGACTTTAGCTGCTAGGCCACCGTGCCAGATCCTTTTCATTTCATATACATATGAAAGCGTGAGTTAGAGAGGGAGAGACAGACCCTTTCATCTGCTGATACAGATGAACCTTTCCTCTGCTGGCTGTGAGAGCCAGCACTGGGCAGGGCTGAAGCCAGCAGCCAGGACGCTCATTCCCATCTCCCACTTGGTTAACAGAGACCCAAGCACATGGACTGTCTTCTGCTTTTCCCAGTTGGAAGTGGAGCAGCTGGGACATGACTCTGCCTAGAAAGGATGCTGATATTACAGGTGGCAGCTTTTTAACAACTTTACCACAGTGTCGGCACTCAAACCACCTGTTTTAACAAGTGCTCTGCTGGAGGCAGGCTCAGGAGGCAATGGGAATGGGAAGGAAAAATAGGGAGTTGAGGCTAGAGCTGTTGAGGTTGGGAAAGATGATGCTGTGATGTGGATTTGTTTGTTTTTTGTTAACCTTTTCTTCCAAAATATTTGTGCTTTTTTTTTTTTTAGTCTTAGTTAAGGGACTGGTTATGGTTGTTACCTTATAACCCTTGAAGTGAAATTATTTTAACAATGGCCATTTTCCTTTTATTAACCAGTATTCCGAATTTGGTTCTCCGAGTAGCCATTAACATTCCTGGTATCCCATCTTCCAGAATAATCAAGTGGTCGTAATAATGTAATTAACCCTGTTAATGAATGGGTACTACTTTTCCCTATGGAGAAGATTCTCATTATTGAAGTTACAGCTTCTCAAGAAAGCTTTGGAGTCAGCTAGAAGAGTGTGTGTTTCCTTAAGGAAATTCCTACTTGACAATAATGTCACTGCCCTGTAAGAATATCAGTGCCAGTGGAGTACCTAGCCAAAGCAGCATCTTCGTGCATCCACATGCTCTCTCCCCTTTATAGTCAAGGACTCAGCAAGCACAAATCACCTGGTATCTACTGTGTGCCCGGCTAAGTACTTGGTACCCCACACTACAGGAGATGGATAAGCCATGGTATGTGTTAAGTGCTATGAGAGAAGATTATGTCCAGAGGCAGAGAGAGCTGAGCTCTCAGAGCAAGTGGCATCAGTCCTGAAGAGGAGTTAGGTAGGAGGTTGAAAAAGGGGGATTTGAAAGAATGAGTGGGGAGACCAAGAGTCCAACTTCCAGCTGAGAAACAGTGAGATACAGAATTTCAAAAAGTATGAATTTTCAAAGAATGTGATAGTTTTTGGTAGGACTGAACGGCTCATATAGCAGATTTAAGAATAAGATGAGGAAGACATGTTCATCGCTGACCTGAGATGGACACAGGGTGATCAGATTGACCGAGAACTTCCACACTGCCATCCTTACAGCATGTGTGGTCTTCAGCTTGTTGGAGGTGGGCACATCTCAGGTAGAATTCCTGTCAACATTAACGAGGTCTTGGATTCTTGACACACACACAGTCTCTGAACACTGTTCCCATAGTTTGTGGTTCTAGACATGTTACACTGAAACCCTTTCTCATTGTCTCTGAAGGGAAAATTGCTTTTAACTTAATGGGATTTTCAAACTCAGGTGTGGCAAGGGTGCCTGGAGACATGAAGCCCAAAGCAGACACTGTCTTGGCTACATCCTATAATGAGGGACCCTGTCATTTAAAGTAGGATTGATTTTTTTTTCTCTGCCTGTAAAGTCTTTGAACATGTTTTCTGCTACTGTTTTTCAGAATCATTTGCTGTTTCAAATAGAGAACTGTGCGATGATGAGAAAGAGTTCATACATTTTCCAGTATGTGAGGGGACCTCTCAACCTGAACCCTCGTGTTCAGCTGTCAGAATAACAGCCAATAAAAACTACAGGAGCAAAACCTCTCAGGAAGGTGCTTTAAAAAAGATGCATGAGGAAGAACACCATCAACAAATGTCCATCTTACAGCTGCAACTGATACAAATGAATGAGGTGCATGTGGCCAAAATCCAACAGATAGAGCGAGAGTGTGAGATGGCAGAGGAGGAACACAGGATAAAAATGGAAGTTCTCAATAAAAAGAAGATGTATTGGGAAAGAAAACTACAAACTTTTACTAAGGAGTGGCCTGTTTCCTCATTTAACCGGCCCTTTCCCAATTCACCCTGAGACCTTGGGGATGGCTCCTGGTGGGCAAAGAAAGTCTGGATCCTGAACTTGTGGTCAGTAACCTGTAACAGAGCTACAACTAGGAAACTTAGATTGGTAGTAGTCACTTATTTAAGAATACATTCAGGTAAACAGTTGCACCCCATGTACCCCTGAAGTGGCCAAGAAGTTGTTAGTCTTTGAAAAATTATCACTATGAGTGCTATAATTCTGAATGTAATGCCTCTTAATTAGAATTCATGAAAGAACTGTGTGTGAGTGTTTTTTTTTTTTTTAAGAAAGCAAGTGTGATTATAAAGGAGTGTGGCTGATTTTTTTTAAAGAAGTAAAAACAGACAAGAGAACTTTTGTATCCAAACGAATGTCCTGTTGAAAGTGGTTGTCCTGGAGTCCACGAGTCTCCCATGGCGATGGCGTTACTCAGAATTTGCTAGAGGTCTTTAGAAAAACCTCCATGAGCCCTGCAGCATCGTTTTTCATTTTTTTTTTTTCAGCGTCATTGTCTGAGTGTGAATTTTCTGTTTTCAAACAGCCCAGCAGCGTTTGGAAGGATATTTTCTAATGTGGCTCGTAAACTGCCTTTGAAGGTCTGTCCCCAAAGAGGAGTTCCAAATAATGTCCCAACAATGGTTCGTTGTTGGAACCAAGGATGTAACTACTTGGAAGGAGAAATGTTCATTTAGATTTCTACATTCCCTGTTTGTTTTATTAAAGAAAAAGAATTGCAATTTTATAGTCACACTGTGTTTTTTTTAAAGGTGTTGCCTTCCCAACTGTGCTTGTTTTTGCCTTCACTCTGTAGTTCTTCCCAACCTCCTCCTACCGAGTTAATGTGTGATGTAATGTGCGATGTCTGTTTTGTCCTTAGGCACCTAAGGAAAGGCCCTTCCCTTGCTGTGCTCAGGGGACTAATAGTGCTATCCAGTTGGCATTACACAGTTCACATTGGCCTTTTTAGGACACCATCACCAACGTGTTTGGATCTATGTATTGGTCAGTGCATGTTACAGTGGAGCTGTGATATGAGTCCAGCTTCTGCTGTAACCTGGTATTAAAAACGTTCCTGGGAATTGGAACAGCGTTAGCTTGAAGGAGCAATGTGACCCTGATGTGCCAAGACAGACCAGCTGCTTTTGAGACTGAGATTTCAAGGCTGTGTGGTAGGGAAGAAGGAATGGGTAAACCTAAGAGGGAGGGCCTGAGTTCAAGCCTGGTGTCCACTCACGTTGTTGTGTGACCTTGGATCACTTCCTTCAATCCTTGGTGTGGTGTGTCCTGTCCATAAAGCCAAGGAGTCTGTACTATCTGGATGGGTGCTACTGGCATCATCATCATCTACATGGCCAACCCCTAACAACTACTTACTGCAGCAGCAAAGCAGCTCTCCTCCATAAGTTTGGGTCCTAGAGATTCTGAGTTCTGTATAACACACATAGTCTCATCCTTTGTACCCTATATAAAACTTAAATGAATACCTTTTTTATACCCTGAATCATATATATTTAAAAATATTCATTTTTGTTTTATTTGAATGGCAAGCATAGAGACAGAAAGAGATCTTTCATCCATTGATTTATACCCAGATGCCTGCAGCATTTATCACCAGGCCAAGCTGATGTTCAGAGCCTCAAACTCAGTCAGGGTTTCCCAGGAGGGCAACAGGGACCCAGATACTTGACCTATTATCTGCTGCCTCTCGAGAGGTACACTGGTGGGAAGCTGGATCAGAAGCAGAGGAGCCTGGACTGAAGCCAGGTACTCTGGATACAGTATGTGGGTATCTGAAAACAGCAAGATGGCCTACTGTGCCAAATGCCTGCCTCTGGAATCATATTTATACGTACTAGAGGAGGAACTAATTCACTGAAGGAAGTCCCAAGAAGATGAGTCTTCTTTGGAAGTTTAAGAATCTTTTTTTTTTTAACTATGATTTTATTTTCTAGTTTTTATGAGATGGATCCTTTAGGAAATGCATTGTATAAAATCCCCAGCTTGAAAAACTTGTGGAAGATAGCACTTGATACTCCATGCACTCCTTCCTGCCTCTTCCGGGTGAAGACAGGGAAGCAGCAGGTTGTGAGCATGCATGTGAACTAAGAAAAACTTGTCTTGCCTCAACTGCTGATCTTCAGGAATCTTGTTAATGGGCAGACTCTGGAGCGGAGCCCAAGATTCTGTATTTCTTTATTGCCGTTACTTTTTTTAAAAAAAGACTTATTTATTTTTATTTGAAAGCAGATTTACAAAGAGAAGGAGACACACACACACACACAAAGAGCGGACATGTGCTGGTTCACTCCCCACTCCTCAAATGGCCACAGTGGCCAGAGCTGAGCTGATTTGAAGCCAGGAGCTAGGAGCTTCTTCCAGGTCTCCTTTGTGGGAGCAGGGTCCCAAGGACCTGAACCATCCTCCACTGCCTTCTCAGGCCATAAGCAGGGAGCTGGATCAGAAGTGGAGCAGCTGGGACACAAACTGGTGCCTATGTAGAATGCCAGTGTAGCAGGGAGAGGAGTAGGCTGCCAAGCTACCACACTGGCCCCAAGATTCTGTATTTCTTACAAGTTCTGGATGATGCCAGTGCTGCTTGTTAGATCAGCACACTTCTAAGGAACAAGGTTTTAGAGGACCAAATGAAGATTTTATTCTCAGAAATCCAAGCAACCAATCCAAAAAGCAGTGGGAGGAACCAAAAAGCAGTTTGTGTATTGCTATACACAAACATATTATTATTTTCTTTCTCAAGATTTAATGACTTAAGCACAGAACAATGTAGGGCAAAAAAAAAAATGCTTACACACAAAAGTACATTTTAATTGAACTATAAAAACATGGAACCAATTCCTAACTGAACAAACATAATTAAGCCAGCAGCCTAAAGCACTTGCTCTTCTGTTAATGGTATTTATGAGTTTATAACAGTAATTTTCAACCTTGGCTTTGCCTTAGAAAAAGGATTTTATAAATCATTAATCCCCGTGGGTCCCAGTTCCAGAGGATTCTAATTCAGTTGACCTAGGTTGAGGCTTGGGACCCTGTGTTTTTAGATGTCTTAAGGGTGATTATGATACATAGTTGGGACTGAGACCATTGGTGTACAGATCGGTTTTTTTTTTTTTTTAAAGACCGATTTTAGTTGAGAGAGGAAAGAGGTTGACTTCCATCTGCTGGTTCACTCCTCAAATAGCCATAACAGCCAGGCCTTGGCCAGACTGAAACTAGAAGCTTCTTCCAGGTCTCCCATATGAGTACAGGGGCCCAAGTACTTAGCCGTTTTCTGCTGCTTTCCCAGAAGCATTAGCAGGGAGCTGGATTGAAAGCAGAGCAGCTAAGACTCAAGCCAGCATCTCCACAAGGCAGACAGTGGCTTTACCTGATATACCACAACACTGCCTCTCCTCCATCCCCTCCCCCCCGTTAAGAAATACTTATTTGAAAAGCAGCTAGAGAGAGAGAGAGAGAGAGAGATTTCCATTTGTTCACAGCAACAGTCAGAATTGGACCAAACTGAAGCCAGCAGTTGAGTATGCCACCCTGATCTCCTATGTGAGTGACAAGGTCCCAAGTACGTGAGCTGTCTTCTGCTACTTTCCTAGCCACATTAACAGGGAGCTAAGTGAAGCAGTGAGGGCTTAAGCCTGCTGCTCACATGGGATGCGGGTGTTGCAGGTGGCAGCTTAACCCACCGTGTTATGACATTGCTAGAGTTTCACAGACTCAAATTCTTGAGTCTGTGAAGCCATACAATAGTAAGAAAATTCACGAATTCACTGGCTCAACTGGCTAATCCTCCACCCGTAAATGCCAGGATCCCATAGGGGCACCGGTTTTTGTCCTGGCTGCTCCGCTTCCCATCCAGCTCCTTGCTTGTGGTCTTGGAAAGCAGCAGAGGATGGCCCAAAGCCTTGGGACCCTGCACCCACGTGGTAGACCTGGAAGAGGCTTCTGACTTCAGATTGGCTTAGCTCTAGTTATTGTGTCCATTTGGGGAGTGAATCAGCAAATGTAAGATCTTTCTATCTTTCCTTCTCTCTGTTGATGTGCCTTTTCAATAAAAACAAAACAAAAAAAATCCTAAAAAAAAAATAAAATGTTCAAAACCCCGTTGGTGCGGGAGAATAGCTTGAAAATGGCACAGTGGCCCTCAATCACAAGTGTAGCTGTACCTCCCTGCCCCTGCTTCATCCCTTGACATTTTTTCATGGGTTTGTTTATCCTGAGAGTCAGACCACATTAAAGGGTACTTGTAGTTTCTTCATTTGTGAATTCACGTTAGAGCAGTTCCTTACACTGCAGTGGAAATGCAGTAGCCATTTCTTGGGTGGTAGATGTGGCAGAAATTAGATAGATAAATAATGCAGATCCAGTTCACAGCCCAGAGGGGGAGGTAAGGCTTTTTATACAACTCTCAGTGTGTGTCTTCAAGTGCACTTGTAGCAGAAAACAGAGCTAAGCAGCTTGAAGAAAGGCCTTATGGAGGAGGTGGCATTTATGTCCTTAGAGTTGGCATTTTGGCAGGTGGGGGTTCCAAGCAGAGGCGTGTCAGCAGATGCTGGATCTTGTTGAGGATTCATGCTAACTGGAAGGCAGCAAGGACGTGGGGAATTTCCAAATCGGTAACCTGATCAAAGTGATACTGAGAAGATGGAACTGAGTGGGGATAAGAGGAGTTGGGGATATCAGATGGGAAGATTTGACTGATTAGAAGAAGATAATCAGGGAACTCAGGGCATTGCAAAACTAGAAGAAACCATTATTAAGGTCATGGGCAGCATGAACTCCATAAAACTTGACAGTTGTTTGCTTTCATTGGAAAAGGGGCAAGGTTTTAAAGGCTGATGCCTGAAGATTGATGCAGCTGATTAAAATAAAAGAAGAAGGTATGTTTCTGGGTTTGACCTATTCTAGGAAGGGTTGAGACACAAGCTAGTGCTACTGCCTTCCTCTCAGATGCTGACACCACTGTACCTAACTCCTCTGGTTGTCAGGTCTTTGTCCTAAACATCTACTTCTTCAGCTGCTTATGCTGCCATTTCTGCCTACTCCTCTTACGCTTTAGCCCCTTTCCTGTTGGTTCTTTGATTACCAGCAAAGAACCTGTGCTATCCATAAGCTCCACTGAAGATGGTGACCGATTGTTTGCCATTCTGTTACACTGGCTTCCCACTAGAAAGATCAGAAAAAGACTTTCTTTTTTTCTTCTTCTTTTTTTTAATGGTTTTTATTTGAAAGAGAGTGGCAGAGAAAG